TGTCCAAAGACCAATCTCAGCCCTTGCTGACCTCCTTCCCTTCACCTCCAACAATAATATATTATTCACGGCAAAAAGACTTCTTACTCCCCATTCCCTCTACCATGTGGAACAATCTTGGGCTCAGATTTCAATTACATCTTTTTAAAAATTGTGTCTTTATTTCCACATCTTTTCATTTGTTCTAATTATGATAGTTTCTGAGCAACTAATATTGGTAATAGTAATGTCAACTGAAAGTTCTTCCACATTGCTAAAGGGCTTAATTACTAAATTTGTGCTATAATAGGTCTGTTGGAAAATTTGCTTTAGAGACTAATTCTTTCTTTTTTTTTTTTTTTTTTTACATTTTTTTTTAATTATTTCTAGGAGAGAGAGAGAGAGAGAGAGAGACAGCATGAGCAGGGGAGGGTCAGAGAGAGGGAGTCACAGACTCTGAAATAGGCTCCAGGCTCTGAGCTGGCAGTCAGCACAGAGCCCGACGCGGGGCTCGAACCCATGAACCGCGAGATCATGACCTAAGTGAAAGTCGGACGCTTAACTGACTAAGCCACCCAGGTGCCCCTAGAGACTAATTCTTCAGGGCATAACTCCTCAGAGGTTAGGCTTATGAATCAAAACCACCTTCTGAAACACTTTGAGACACACGAGGGCTTGGCAAAAGGAAAGGTGAAAATTCTCTTGCTACCTCTTCCAGGCTCTTTGTTAAGTTCTAGGTGGTATCCAAAGAGACAGCCTGCACAAAGAAGCTTCACCACAAAGAGTCAGGCTGTGGAGACACCAAATGGAAAGACACAGCTCAGAAACCTCAGATTAAAGGGCAAATATTTTAGAAACAGCATACTTGATTATGTCAAAGAGACGGCATGGCACTTTCTGTAACACAGAGATACCACAGCAAGGTAGAAGTTCAGCAAGACACACAGACTGAAAAGCTCCCCAGGATGGATAAAGTCCAAAATATAATCCTGTTTTAAATGAGGTGAGCATGCTATCACTAAAAATAAAGGTTTCCAACAAATAAGGTCCTTATAGATGAAAGCACTATGCCCCATAGAAATTCCTGGGGCCATGGACATGCTCTGAATCTGCACTGCCCAGTATGGTATCCACTAACTACAGGTGGCTATGGGAGCACTTGAAATGTGGCTGAAGTGAATCAAGGACTGAATTTCTAATTTAATTTTAATTCATTTAAATAAAAATAGATAAATGTGGCTAGCTGCCACTGTATAGAACAATACAGGAAAAGGCTTAGACCATGATTTGGGAAAGTGATCTAAGAGGTTATTACAAAAAAATCTTACACATCTTCTGACCACCTGAAAAATATTTTCTCAGTGCCCTCCCTGCCACAGAGGGACAATTCAGAAGATGTCACATCAGAAACATCAAAAAAGAGGAGTGCTTTTCAAATTTCAGGTTCCATCAGAATCACCTGGAGGATCTTAATTTGTTGTAAATTTTGTGGATGTGTCTAACAATTATAGGACCAGAAACACAGCAATACAGAAGTCAAACTTGCCAGGACACTCTACGTCTAATTCCTGCATTGGCCCTGTCTTAGAGTCAAAATGAGGCTTTCTATTAGAATAATGTAACTGCTTCAGGTTTAGGTCAGGCTGACTGCCTCTTTCACCATTCCAACACAGTTCTAGAAAAGTACCAAGAGAACACATGTTTTATTAAAACTTTTTAATACTCAAAGGGCATATGTTGAAGATAAACCCTTTCCATATTCCCAAAGAAACAGAAATAAAATAACATTTCTACAAATATTCTGTGGTCTTTTTTGTATTACCTGCAAAATCTGTTCTAGGATCAGTGGTCATTTGGGAGGATATATTTCTTTTGAGTGTTGTTACTTCTTTATATTGTTCGGTCTACTTATACATGAGTTACTTTAACATGAAGAGACAACGCCATGAAAAAAACAATTCCTTAGATGTGGTGTGTTTGTGTGTGTACACGTACACACACACACACACACACACACACACCCCAGAATATTACACAGCCATAAAAAAAGAATTAAACCTTGGGGTGCCTAGGTGGCTCAGTCAAGCATTCAACTCTTGATTTCAACTCAGGTCATGATCTCGTGATTTATGAGATGGAGTTCCACGTCAAGCTCCACGCTGATAGTGCAGAACCTGCTTGGGATTTTCTCTCTCCCTCTCCCTCCCTCAAAGTAAATACACTTAAAAAAAAAAAAAAAATCTTTCCATCCATGACAACACAGATAGCCCTAGTGGGTATTATGCCTAGCTAAATAAGTCAAACTGAGAATGACAAATACCCTATGATTTCACTCAAATGTGGAATCTGAAAAACAAAAAATGAATAAACAAAGCAGAATCAGACCTGTAAATACAGAGAACTGATGGTTGCCAGAGGGGAGGGAGGTGGGGAGATGGGCAAATATGGCTGAAAGGGAGAGGGAGATACAGGCTCCCAGTTATAGAATAAATAAATCACAGGAATTAAAGGCACAGCATAGGGAATATAGTCAGTGATAAAGTAATAGCACTGTATGGTGACAGATGGTAGCTACATTTGTGGTAAGCATGGCAGAACATATAGAGAAGTTGAATCAATATTGTACACCTGAAAGTAATAGAACATTCTGTGTCATCTATACTTAACCTCTTTTGAGAGAGAGAGAGAGGGAGAACGCAGGTGTGCACACAAGAAGGGGAGAGGGAGAGAGAGAATTTTAAGCAGGCTTCACACCCAGCGCTGAGCCCAATGCGGGCCTTAATCCCACAATTGAGCCAAAATCAAGAGTCACAGGCTTAATGGACTGAGCCACACAGGCATCCCAATCTTTCTTTTTTTTTTTTAATTTCCTTGACTGTTCTGAGATAGCCTTCTTTTTGCCTCCTCCACTCCCCTCTTTCTTAACGTTCCAAAAGAAAGCCTTCATTCAGAATACATTGCTGCAATGAATAGGACATGAAGCCTTAAAATCAGAATCCAGTACTGTTCATTATTTCCCCCACCAACAATCCTTCGCCCTTCTTCAAAGTCACAATATTCTTCAGTTAATACTTTCACAAAGTTTAAGAGTAATCCTTTAAGGGTTCTAGAAATTTGGGGAATAGGAATCATTGCTCAACATTTACAGAGCCCCCAAGTAGTCACACAATACTATGTACATCACTTTCTTAGGCTACTGAGTTATTAATGCTGTGTCTCTTTTATGGGTAGGGAAACTGTAGCAAAATGCAGCTAAGTGATTAAAATATCGTCCCAGAACAACTCTTGCTCTGCAAGAGTCAATCCCTTCAGTAGTATTTCTTCAGCAGTGGTTCTTGCTGATGGCAGGTTCCTGCCCCCCACCCTAAGAGGACATATGACAATGTTTGGAGACATTTTTGACCATAGAGAGTGCTACTGGAATCTAGTGGGTAGAGGCCAAGGATCCTACCAAACATGCTACAGTGCACAGGCCAGCCCCTCCCCTACTCCACCTCAAAGAATTGCCTGGCTTAGAAGGTCAACAGTGCAAAGGATGAGAACCCCTGTTTCTCCGACAATTCTAGCATTGCTTTCTTTGCCCCCCTAATCAATAAAGAATGGCTCCTTCTACAATTTGATCCTTGTACAGGATTTATACAGAAACATGCCAGTCAAGTGCTATTTCTGACATTCTACACTTTCTAATTACTTTAAAAATACAAGATCTTTGGGAGCCACAGAGTAAAGAGGAAAGTTAGCAAAGTGTGGCTTCTTGCTTTTAAGGAAAAAACCTAGCAAAGACCAGGTCCTTGAGCTAGCAATCTCCAGACCCTGAGCTATGGGGTGTACCTCTGGCTGCACACCTGGACTTTTCTGCTGCTAACGTGCTTTGAAGCTGCCTTTTCTCTATTTGCTTATCTGTAAGCACATGCATTACTCCAAAACAGTAATGATGTATGCTTATGGGAATCTCCAGAGATCTACAGCCCCTAATTGTCTATTTTGTTCAGTAAATTGTACTCATTACTAAGTCACATGAGACAATGAAGGCCATCAGCCTTTCTGGTTGCCCTTTGTATGAGCCTGGGTAATGGGACATTATCTTGCCAAAGACTCCACAATATTGAACTGAAATGCTTAAAATAACCCTCCATCCAGTTTTTCAGCAGAGTATTAACCTCATGTCTTTCTTTCCTACCATCCTCCATCCTCAGCTCTGCTTAGATCTGTATTATGATTTTTCTCTTCAAGGAGTCTGGTTTTAGTTTAAGCTCTTGAAGCTGGGAAATTCAGAAAGGTTATGATGTCCTTTCAACTTCTCCTTCCTGGACCTCCACTTATACTCTGAGAAGGGCATACCAAACAGTCTATCTCTCCCTCTGGTCTCAAAAATCTTCAGCACAAATGAAAATCCAAAGCCAGCTTTGATTATAATGCTCCCAATGCCCACATCCATTATATTTGGGACTGCAAATAGAGAGGAGAGAATGGACAGGTGGCTTCCAGTGACAATGGATAAAATAACATGGAACAGGTAGAACCACATGTTTGCTAGTGCTGTGATCCACCAAAGGGGGACTCATCAAGTCTCTAGTAAGCTGTTTCCTTCCTGGGGAAAAAGATTAATGAAGGAAAAGTTAATAAGCACAGAGAGCCATGGAAGAGGGAGATGCTGGGAGAGAGGATTGTATGCAGCAGAACTAACATTAGGACAAGACTACAAGACAAAGGCCATCAAGCCTGGTTCTCTTTTCTACAATATCTATGAAGAAGGTCAACGAGCTCCTCCCACATAAATCACATCCATACCAACTCCCTGAAAATTCCTTTAGTGAGATATTTCCATGCACAACTTCCATCCCATCACCCTACTGAATTTTCTCTTCATACTTGTTGATTTCCATGGTGTAAGTTGAATCAATAAAGGTTTGGGGAAACTTTCACAGAGCACCTCATTGTATTGACTCTAAGAGACTAATGAGACAAGAGCCTCTATGACAGTAAAATCAGGAAAATGGCAGAGAATGCCTCTGACTTACCCTGGAGTAGAGGGTGTGAGAGCCTTCAAACACACTTACATCCTCATAACCCATCAGCTCTGCTGCTCTTCATCACTCACTCACTTCTGCATGTTGGACCACCACTAATCGATCACCAACTGTCAAAGAAAAAAGTAAAAGAATGAATTAGGCAAAAAGTTCCACAACTTCAAGTCCAGAGCCACTGCTCAAATAAATCTGTGAGTAGCCCAAGTGCTTAACATATAGACACAAACACATATAATGACTCAAGCTCAATAAAAGTTTACTTCTGGCTCCCATAAACATACTGAACAGGTGAACAGGTCAGTCAGTGGAGTGACCCTCCCTCATGCAGTGATCCAGGCACTGAGGCTAATGAACATCCTGCCACCTTTTTTAAAACTAAATTCCCAAGCTTACCCTAAGAATCCGCTTCATTCCAGTCACAGGCATGGAAAACAGCACAGAAGCTCACATGGGCATTCTCCTTATGTTTTTCCCCAGAAGTGGATTTCAACTATCTTGCACTTCCAGTCACATTCTAGTGGCTAGAATCAGTAACACAGCCACACCTAAGACACTGGGCTGCTGGGCAGCTAATAGTTACTATCCATCATACAGGGCTGGCTCCAGCCCAACCAAGATGATAGTGTTACGTCTGGTGTACAGAGTTCTGGGTGAGACACTAGTACAATAATCTTGACTTACTAACTTAACAACTCAGTCTTGGTTCCCTTTTTATTTTAATCTGTAAAATAACTCTTTACTCACAGGGTCAATGTGAGTGAAACTCAAAATGAGACAAAGCAGCACTTCTCAGACTTTAGTATGCATACATAGCACCTGACCATCTTGATGAAATGCAGATTCCAATTCAGTAGTTCCCGAGTGAAGCCTGAGAATCTGCATTTCCCACGAACTTCCAGATGATGCCAGTGCTGCTGTTCTGACTACACTTTAAGTAAAAAGAAGATTAAAAAAGAGAGAATATTTTTGCAAGCCAGAAAGTAATTTGCAGATATCAAGAATTATCTTGGCACTAACTTGATAATTCCAGCTAGCTGGCACTTTTAGGATAGGTTTGGTCTAAGTACCATATAAAATTTCAGTCACAGGACTTTGGAAATGAAAAGAATTTAAGTAGTCAGTGTTCTCTCTTACTTTCCAGATAAGGAAATAAACTCAGAGATGTCACAGTGTGCTGGAAAAAGAATGCAGAAATTTTTTATTTTTTTTTTATTATCACATAAACTCAATTGATAACCTGAGGAACAAAGGGTAACTTTTATTCTTCTGCTAAAGCAATAACAGATACTATTCTAACCTATACCCAAAAAGGTACCAGAAGATAGCATTCACCAGCTTGGGTCACCATGGTACCAAATGTAGGCAAGGTGTCACAAAAAAGACATCAAGAGATTCAAGCATGTTCTTCAAAATGTAGTGATCTTCAAAGTTATGTTTCACATGTCCAAAATATGAACACAAATTAACTTCTATATACCCCCTGGCAAAAACAAAAATATTTTCAATATATACAAACTGAGTCCCTACTATCTGGGAGACAATTAGCAAAAGAGAATCTGGGGTTGCAAATAGAAAAAAGAAAAAAAAATAAGTAGCCAAGAAGCAGCAGTTTCTATGATAAATCCTAAAGATGAAGGAACCTCAAGATTTTTTTTTTATCCCTGACACGTATGTTATTTTTTGCACCTCTGAGATCATGGGTAGTCCTACGAGCTTAGAGTAAAAAAAAGAGTGAAATGTATGATGTCAGAAGCGAAAAATAGGAGTCAAAAACCCCCAACTTACAAGTCAGAAAAGCACTATCTAGAAATCCAATCAGATGGGCGGGGGTGGGGCGGGTAGAGAGAGGAGCCTCTTACAGTGCACGTCATCTTCAATGAAGCAACATGAATATGAAAGTGTCTTGGTGAAATCACGAGGGAGTACTTACTGGGCAAGCAATGATAAATGGAAATCAATACTTGCACATCCATTATTAATTTAAAATGAATAAAATACTATTAGCATCTTCATTTAGTGAGCAATTTTAAACATTTTAATAAAGGTAAAATGTTCTAAGAACTTCCACAAGTTTACTTTTGTACTCTAACCCCCCCACTTCTGCCCGCCCCCTCACCGCTGATCCTCGTACACCATCGTGTCTTTAGCTCCTCAAATATTCTCTCATCCTGACAATTTTCCACAACCTATTCTAGACTCTAGAATTTTTACCCTATTTTTGTCCTATGGATTCCACTCTCCACACACCCCACCCCCCGCCTTAGCAGTCTATTGAAGCCTAGGAAACTCTTTCTCAGAATAATGTGTTAACTGTATAAAATATGTAAGATTACAGAAGAAGCCCATCATATGGAAATACTTTTTCCACAAAGCACTCAGAGTTCCACAAACCTACTATAGAAATATCTCACGGGGAGTGACTCTTCTAGGATGCTGAAAGTTTTTTCTTATAGCAAACAGTATGCAAAAAAGTTTTAAAAACCCAAAGATGAACATAAAGAATATTGCTCAGGATCAGTCAGTGAAGAAAAAAAACAGCTGCAAAGAAAAGCCTGACCTTGAATTTCTACCCCAACTCAACATTATTCATGCTGTGGCTTTAAAATGCCACATTAAGGAATTACTCAGAGAATTTTCTTGGCTCCATCCCTGTAGACATAGCATATTTTGAGTCCTGATGGCAAGTGGAGAAAGGCAGCACTGAAGAAGGGAAGATGGAAATGAGTCTGAGCTTGGGTCCTAGTTCTCTACCACTAACTAGTTCTATCACTCAGTTCTAATTTGAAACTCTCTTCTTACTAAATGAGAAAGTTGAGTTAAACCACCTTTAGGGTTTCTTCCCACTCTGAATTATTAGGATTCTAAGACAATGCACAATCATTTCTCTGGGAAGAAGTTATTAGTGATATTTCTTTTTGCCCTAGGCTCACAGTATGAAATTACCTTCTAGAAGAGAATTTTTCAGAGGCTTCAGAAATACCTTACGAGAGTCACTGTGCCACAGAATTTAAGACTGGAAGAGATTTTAATAGACACACACCACCTCAGCAATCCCACTGATCAGGTGAGAAAACAGAGGATCAGAAAGGCCAAGATTTATTTGAGGTCACATAATGAAGCCACGTTAAAGGACTGTTGTGACTACTGCCACCTAGCACTAGCAGGATTTTAGGATTCAGCGTTGGTAATTAAGACCAGCTCATCAGCTCTCCTGGTGACAGAAATAAACCTGAAATAAGCTGAGCCATAGGGAGGGAACTGCACAAGGAAGCAGGAGACTGGGCTAATGACACCCAGAGGCAGCATCCCATAGCTCAAGGAGGGTCAAAACAAAGACTCCCATATACATTATAACCTCGCTGTCAACAGCAGTCGCCTCCTTCAAATATGATGGCTACAAATTCCATCTCAAAAAACAATCAATAACAAAGAAAGCATAGCTATTTCAAAAGAGGGGACTGGATAAGTGAATCCTGGCTAGTAAGGTTAATAAAACCAAAATTCAAGATTTGGGATATTGTAATCTTGAAAGAAGAGCACTAGCTAAGAAAACCTTAAAATACTTGTTACGAATTTCTAAGTTTTAGAAGAAACTGATTCAGAAGAACTTTGACCTACCTTCTGTGGACAACCCTGAAATATAGTAACAACTTAACTAATTTTACTAATACTCTCACCACGATCTTTAGAGCACGTAATTACTGGATGTGGTTTAAAAGTCACATGTATATTTCCATAGTCCTGTCCACGTGTGTAGACTAGCATTATATGCAAAGAATTAGAAATGATGAAGTTGTTGGGAATTTTGATTGAATCAGAATTTCAGCTTCATGTTCAATTAACTAAAATGTATGCCAAGAGCTCTTAAAACTTATGATACAATGTTTAATTGTCAGTTTACCTTCTGACCTTTCCCCTACACACAACTAGCAAAGCAACTGTACCCATTCCTCAATCCTCACAACACACATTATTCCTACCTAATGTAAACAGTTCTGGCTTTCAGAACTTTTTTTTTTTTTTAGATTCATTTTGACAGCTAACACAGCCTTTCACAATCTGGAGGCTACACACCACGGGTTTGCCAACTCGGTTTCATCTCCTCCAGGAATTCCAGAGACAGCAGTGCCATCTACTGGTAGGGAGGGCACAACTTATTTCTGGAAGCCTGTGGGTGACAGCAGCCAAGGACCTGAAAGAATGGCAGGCTAGATTTGTGTCTTTGTGAGCCTTTCTTTTCCAGAGCATGTAAGAAACGTAACTGATGCCTATAACCTGAGAAACAGAACCACCACAGGAGTCTCCATCACGATGGGCAGGTTCCGTGGAAGCCATATAAAGCCCTGCCAGGCTAGCCAATAATGAGCTCTGCCTAGAAATGCCTCCTTGAGGCTCTAAGGCAAGCAGCGGAGCCTCACTGAATTAAACATTTCCTGGCTCTCCTCTTCCCCCAGTGCATCAGTATCAGATGATCTCACCCGTGCCCCCACCTGTGGCAATGTTACCCAGCTTTATCTTATAGCATACCTCTTAGGGAAGATGCTCAGACCCCTTCTCAATGTGAAGGCTCTTATGTTTACACAATGTGACACAGATCCTGCTCAAAGGACACGATTGCTTAGGTATGCAGGTTGGCCTCTAATCTCTCTCATTTGTTCTCCATCCTCCCTGTTCCTGACCCAGAGGACAGAAATGACAGAAAGGAAATGATTTTGTGGTTGCTTGGAAAGCCACACTAGTGGGCTTTCACTGAATCAGAAAATAAAACATCGCCTTGCAGGTCACTGAGGTACACTGCTTCCCTCAAGATGAACTAAGCCAGCCAATCTTCCTCTTTTCCCTAGTAGAAGCCTATAAATGTTTCTCTACCTTTTTAAAACCCCTGCCTCTCCTCCAAAGGCTAAATATAAACATAGTGGGACCTTTATGTGATTTATATAAATGACATTTTTCTAAACATAAAAGCATATACCTTTCCAAACTATACCACCTACCCCACCTTCAGAATTCCTTCTCCCCAACACATGCCACCTAAAAAAAAAAAAAAAATCAGACAAATTTAATTATTCCCATTAATTATACTTTCTGTTCCAATCAGGTGACAATCTATATTCACTTGACTATAGGGCCATTTGTTACATTCCCCCAAAGCTTTGCAGCAACCTCTTTTACTTCCATTCACCTCAATCATCAAAAAGTTGATTTGCTGCAGCTGATAAATGTTCTGATTCCCCTAACAAAGTGTTCCCTCAATTTGTTTTAACTTGCCAACTAAATTGATTTCTCATAGCAAGTGTAGGCATTTCACGGGCATGACGCCTCTTAGATGTTTGAAAAATCTCATTGCTTCCTAAAGAAACAAAACTTTGTATGGGGGAGGGTAAGAGTCATGAAAGGGCTTCAAAACAAGCAGGTCTCCAAGGAATCAGGGAGAGATTCTTATCCAACTCACACCAGAGTAAGTTCTCCATAGATTACAGTGAAACTCCAGCATACAGTCAAAATCCTAATGACCAATGAGCCATTTACCAAGTAGACTACAAGATACATCCAACAAATTAGTGGAAAACTGAAGGCACTTTTAATATTTCGTTATTATAAGACAGACCTTCCTATTGTAGGTCTGGGGAAATGGAGTAGGAAACCAGAGGTCTTGCACACAACCGCGCCCCCCCCCCCCCTTTAAAGTAAGACTTAAAAGGAGGAATCCCTCCATCCCCAACACACAAACCATTTTGGGCATCCAAATGGTCTTTAAACAGGCACTTTTCAAAGAATTAAGGAGGTCTGAATAGGTGTGATTTACACATGCCTACCCCACAGGCTATCAACACGCTTAAAATAATTACTCTCTTCGGCAGCCCAGAAAGACCTCAGTTTACAGATATAATCACGCCCCCCCCCCTCCAGACACACACCCCAAATCCCCATCTTCCTGAAAGAGAATCTCACTGTGACGGTCGGGTCTGCAGTTCACTGCAGGCTTTTCCCTCCTCGCAATTTACCAGTCATCAGTTTCACTTTGTCTGTAATTCCTTAATGTAACCTCTTATTTAGACCTGCTCCTGCTCATGTAGACCAGCGCCCAACTGCTTTAAAAATTTTTGTCTCACCCCTTAACGAAAACCTAGGTTCCCTCGGCAGGCTGAAAGCGTTCAGTATCGATGCAACTCTGGGGTGCGAGCTGGCGTGCAGGTCCGGAGAAGCCTTCTGCCGGCAACACTTGGGCTCGGTCCACCGGTCATGCCCCCCCACCCCCGCCCGCACAGCTGCGCTAGGAATTCGGCTTTGCTCGCAGCCGGATTAGTTCGTGTCCCGCCGCTCGGCTAAAGTGGCATTTTCCCCCCTTTCCTTCCCACATGTGACAGTTCCCGCTGCATTAAAGCCATCTTCTCCCCGGGCCCCAGCCCAAGTCCGGCGTCCGTGATGCCCCCGCCCCACCAAGCTCACCCTTTACCTAGGGAGGGGGCCGATACCAGCATCCCTCCAGGCGGGAAACAAAGGCAGAGACGAAGCTGCCAGGTGGGCAACTCCCCTCGGGCGGACCCGTCACCATGGTGAGGGGGCTGGGAAGGTGCATTTACAGGGTAGGAAAAGGGAAACCGAGGCACCAACGGGGATGGCTGAGCCCGAGTCTGCGTCCTACCCGAAGCAGAGCTCCTGGGGAGGGCGGACCCCAGACTTCTCCCCTCCAACCCCACCGAGCCCTGCCTGCCCTGCCCACCTGGCTCGTCGGCACCAGCCGCGGAGGGGCAGAGGGCCGCCCCGCAGCTGCGATTACCTCTGGAGAAGCGCTCCGGCTCCCTCCGACGGCTCCGGAGAAAGCCCCGCCGCTCGCGCACGCGCACTCGCGCTCTCGTGCCTTCGCGCCCCCGCGCGCGCCTCTCCGTCCCGGCTCGGGCCCGCCCGGGCCCTGGCCGTCAGAGTCCGCGAGAGCCAATCCAGTAACAGGAAAGGCCCAGCGCCGATCACGTGGCATGGCCAGCCAATCACCAAATTGCCCTCGGCAACACCCGCTCCGATGTCCCTGGGGGTTCGGTTGCTACCGTTCGGAGCCCTTGCGAGGAGGGCACAAAAGGCGGAATCTGTTTCCCGGAGCTAGTTTTGCTCAGCGAATGAATTGAAACATCAGTTGATACTTGGAATTCTAAATAGGAATAGCAATCACCTGGGTATCTGGTTAAAAGGAGGATTCAGATCCGGTAAATTTGTGATGGAAAACTGATGCTGTGCCTTTCTGATCAGCTCCATATGGTGATGATGATGCTCCTGATCTGACGACCATGCTTTGAGTAGCAAGATCTTAAGGGCACCTGTGAGAAAATGGGTATAGCCCTTGTTCCGTGTTATAGTCCCATGTTCTGTAGTTCTAGAACAAGGTTATAGCTCCTGTTCCTTGTTCAATGAAAGTTTCACGACCTTTTCCTTCCACCAGCGTTGGAAAGCATTATAGGGACTGAGTAAACACGGGGTGTCCTGGTGACACTCATAATTTGGGCGCCGGCTAAAGGAAGTGTGTTTAATTCCCACATCACTTACCCCTAGACTCTGAGGGCAGTGATCTGTGCCAACTGGATGGTTGGAATGTGGAAACTAGAAGTGGGGACTGAGTGCTCCTAGCAGAGAACACTAGGTCTACTTTCATTCTAAAGTATTCAGCATGTGTGTCTCAATGGCAAGGTGCTAAACCCTTAGAGAAGTGAAATAAGTAATTTTTGCTTTCTGGAAATTTACATTCTGTCATGGAACTATAAAGGCAAGCTCAGGAAGAAGCATTAGGAAAAACATTCAGGGAGCTGATGGTCTCGGCATCTTGGACAATTCAGGCATAAGCCAGAGAGGTTGTAAAATAACCTAGTTTAGGGATCTTCAAATGGCCCAAACATCCTTCTAACAGTAATACCAGAGTCTGGAAGTGAGGAAGTCCTGTGCCTCCACCATCTCTCAAAACTTTACCAGATCCTAAATGTGTTCAGTCTTGTCAGCTAGAACCTTTGTTCAGCATAGTCAAGCTCACATTACCCAAAAGAGTACCAAGGTGATTCAAAGGCCTAAGTGCTAAATTCTCCAAACCCTTCTTCCCCAAGGTCTTAGAGCAGAAGGTACAACATTGCTTTGAGCAGTTTTCTGTCACTATTCATCAAGATCATACTGCCACTGAGAGAAAACTTCACCTTTGTCAATGTGTCTTGGGCTTACCAACCCCGGAAATAAAGCCCCCTTGGCAATCTTAGACATTACTCATCACAGTATGTGTATCAGAGATGGCTTGGCACAAAATCCAGAGTTTCAGGGACTACACTGAACCTAGAACAACAATGGTTCTAGCTATATCAAGAGTAAGGAAATTCTAATCAAAAAGAATATGTTTGAAATCTCTAAGTTTCTTTTGCTATCATTAAACCACTGGATCTCAAGCCTAGCTGCAGAGTAAAGCTTTTAAGGAAATAGGTTTTTGGGCCCTATACCTAGAGATTCTGATTGGAGTCAGGAGGGCAGCCTCAGCAAGGTTTAGAACCTCAGGAGGTTCTAAAAGATCTCCAGGCAGTTTGCATCCAGCCTTGCCTGAGAATACCTGCATAAGCTGCTAGGTTGGTAGACTTGTTCTTTAACAAGGGAAAACCAACTCTGCAACACAAATCACTAAGGACATAAAGACTCTGAGAAGAGAAAAGTTTCCACATAACTTATGAGAAAATTCTTTTTAAGGGCCAAAAATAATTCACAGGTAATAGATATCACCCGTTCAGTAGAACAAATTGAAAAGCCATGTCCACAACTAAGTTTAATTCCAGTTGATTAAATATTTAAAGAAAAGAACCTATTACCTTTTAACCACATTAAACTGCTCAAGTCTGTTGATATCTTGTTTTATGCTTTTCTTAACTAAAAATGAATGTCTATTTGAGCAGTATTAAAGTTATTCTCTGAGGCTCTTCCCAAAGTACAATGGAATCACCTGGAGTACTTGTTAAAATGCAGATTCCCAGCATCCCCATCCTGAACTTCCTCTAGCCTCTCCTGCAACAATGCTGAAGCTGTACTAGTTAAATTTGAGTCCAAGTTGTACCTCCTGATACAGAACATATACCTTATAGGCAAACCCTCAAGTAAAATAGATGTGCTATTAGTTTAATTTGCCATGCAAGGTAAATAAACCTTATTTTATTTTAAAGAATTCCAAGAGATTCTAGTTTCTTTTTCCTGGGTTTTTGCCAAATTCTCTCATTTTGTGAAATAAAGAGATTAGTCTCTAGATCTTAGAAAGCTGTTGTTGCACAGAGTTTTTCTATGGAGTGACATTTGCAGTAGCAGAATCTGACCTACTTTTTAACTGAATTAGTGAGGTCCCCTCAGAACATTGTGCTGACAGTAGCCACTTTGCTCAAAATTGACTTTATTTGCCAAAGCAGGAAAATGGAAGCCTAATGTCAGAGCCTGCAAACTAGCTTCCCTCCTGCCCAGACACTGTTAAAAATATATTTCACAGCATTCTAATTAAGGAGAAGATTTTCTCACCTTATAAACTTGTATCTTTACCTACTTGGTAAAATGAGGACAGTTTTCACTGATATTTAACTAGCATGAATAATGTAAAATTTTAACAAGAAAAAAGCATTTATTTTCCTTTTTCTGAGTGTCATCATTACACGCCAAAAAAAAAAAAAAAAAAGCAACAAGAAACAAAGAGATTCTTGCTTGAGATTAAGATTTAGAAAAAAGAACATCCAAGCTGTCATTCATTTTCTGTTTCTCAGTCTGCCTGCCTCATGCACATGAACTGGCTGGCCTATCTCAGGAATTGGACATGTGTGTATGTGGTTAAAGCACGAGTTTGTTTAAGCAAGCCCCACCCCTCCATTACCCCCTAGAAATTAGACAGTTTTAGGTTTACTTGAAAGAAAAGAGATGAAAACCTCCAAGTCTCCAGAAATTCACCCAGTGCTCCATTAATGATCAGAACCCCTATAGAATACTTTATAAATGCTAATTATGTTTTAATCTATCAACAAATAGCTTCTCTAAACTTAATTGATTTCCTTCATGAAGACCTAATATTACCCAAGATTCTAGTCTCCATCTCTCACATAAAACTGATCAGAATCACATTTTATATCTATGTATCTGTGTTTTATTTATTTTTTTAAATTTTATAATGTTTATTTATTTTTGAAAGAGAGAAACAGAGAGTGAGTGGGGGAGGGGCAGAGAAAGAGAGACACACACAGAATCTGAAGCAGGCTCCAGGCACTGAACTGTCAGCACAGAGCCTGATATGGGGCTTGATCTCACGAGCTATGAGATCATGACCTGAGCTGAAGTCTGACGCTTAACCGACTTTCTATTATATTTTTATAGGATTTATTCTATAATTCATCTATAATTTGTTATATATAAAGAATATAAACTTTTTTATATTCTTTATAAAAGAATCATAGTTAAAACATGTGTATATAATGACATACACATAGCTATTATATGTTTCTTCATACAACCCCCAACTTAAGAAACAAAACTTTTTAATACAAAGCACCCATGTATCTCTCCCAACAAATTGATTGTTTTAGATGAAGATAGCACACTTAGCAAGCTTTGCTACAAAAGTGATTTATGAAAGGAAATACCATACTGTATGCACATAATAGAGAACAAATGTAAAAGGGTAAATTTTTTACTGCATATTTGGAAGTTCCCTAACTGATATAAGAAAAAGATAACAGTGCTGGGCATTTCAACTGGTCCAACACCTCTGCTTTACAATTACAAAGATTAGCCTGGAAAGCATGTAATTTTTAGAAGACAATACCAAGAGTTTGGAGCTGCGAAAAGAGGAGGCATCAGGTTTTATCATTCGATAAAAACACTACATGTGCTTTTCTTTTAGCTCATCTGAAGAGAAGTTAGCCACCACAATTCATAATAAAAAGTGTTATGTTATAAGCGAGACTCATAACTCTATAAGAAATTACAGAGAAGGAGCACCAATTCTGATTGATGAAATCAGGGAAGGTTTGCTTCAAAGATGAGGCCTGGACTGAATTTCAAAGAAGTAGCAAGAGGTGCTCCAGGACTAGCAGTAGCCCATACAAGGGTATAGACACTGTGGAAGAGAACGTAGTTTAATTTGACTAGATGTGAAAGGGGAAGAAGGATGATTGGAGGGTGAGGACAAGGCCAGAATGATAGGATGAAAATGCATGACACGCCATTCCTCCCTCCTGTAATCAATCATGGCATTCAACGCTATTCTAGTGATTATGTGTAGAATCTAAAACCAAATCTCTGTTCTTCCACTTACCACTGTGCAAACCTGGACAGTTTGGCCCTTGGAAGATATTGGAGAAATGATTGCATAGTTTTGTCATCTGTAAAATGAAAATAATGGCAATACAAGTACTTACCTCCTATAGGTTAATGAGCCGATTAAACAGTGCTTAGGAGCATTTGAGGTATAAGAAGTGCTAAATAAACGTTAGTAATAGTTTTCTCCTGAACCTGGATGTGGCCTCAGACTCCTTCTCAATAGTCTTATTGGCTTCTAACTTCAACTGATCAGAACTGACACCCAGAGGGATACCTCCCAGCCCTTCCCGGTTCCTGACACAACTCTGATTCAGGGCTCTACAGCCTAGTACCACTCACCTATACGAACTCCTTTCCTCATTTAAGCAAGTTCTCTATAAATTTGTCCCTCTCAGTCCAACAGCAAGTCACAGAAAATTAGTTGCTGACACAACTAAATGTTTTCTCAAAAATTTAGATAGATTATTTTCACTGTTTTTTTTTTTTTTAAATTTTTGATAGAACACATCATACTCTAAGGTGTTTG